CTTTTTGTTTAATATTTAACTATGCTATATAAATTATCCATTAAATGCTAAATGTATATTTCGATAATGAAAATAATCGAACAAAATTTTTACGTATTCCTTTTTTTCCTATTTTTATTCATGTTAAAAAAAAAAAGAAAAACTTGTGATGTTTGATTTGGTTGACAATCAAATCGTTTATTGTCACCAAATTACTCAGGCTGAGTGGTGCGGTGTATCGTTGGAATGATAAGGAATATTAAATGTAACACAATAAGAATTGATGAAAAGGAACGGAGAACGGAAAGCAATTGAAATTAAATGAGAAAAAAAAAATGACTGCGATTGTTGATCAATTAAATATTATTTTAAATTAAAAACGATTTTTCTTTTTCTTTTTCTTTTTCATTTATTAGACGCATAAATTATAGCCAAGCTGATAAGGCAAGTGGTAATTAAAAAATTCATAGAAATGAGAATAAATTTAAGTGAACAAATTCATGCGAAATTTTTGACAATTTACCAGAATATCGAAATTAAAAGCGGAATTGAATTAGAATTATTTGAAATTAAATATATGAAATAAATCATACCGGTAGAAATGATTGGAACATTCGGCTGAGGTTGTGCAATAAGCTGAAACGGATGTTGAGATGGTTCTTGCTCTTCTTGCTTTTGATTGTTGTTCGTCGATTGCGTAACTGATGAAATCCGGAAACGGTTCAATGTTCCACCGGATCCGGATGACATCTTCCTGCTATCCAATATATTATATGCACATATATATACATCCATCTCTACATACGTACATATACATATATACATACACATACATACATACATACACGTACACATACATACATACACACATACACATACATACACACGCACAAACATGTACGCACTAACAATGAAATGTAATTGTCGTCACACAGAGAAGTGTTAGCATGAAAGCGAGCGAGCGAATGAATGAATGATTGAAGTGAACGAGCGAGTAAACTAATGCCAACAACAACTAATCAACCATCAAGCTGATATTGGACGTTTGTAGTCGACCCTAACCGAAGTAAAAAATGCTAAATGGACTGTGGGGGTGGGGCAATCGGGTTGATTCCGCCGGCTTTTCCAAAAAAATCCGCTCCGCCATCTTTTTTTTTTTTTGTTAGCGTTATTTTCTTATAAATTATCATTTATCACTTTGTAGCACACATTTCCTTTTTTTTTTCTTTTTTCTTATCCATCTTCAATAAATAATTAATTAATCCTTCCACTAACATCAACCTATCATTTTGCTATCCCATTTATCCATTATCATCACTAAACTGTTATCACTATCATTATTATCATCATCATTATCGATTATTAGTTTAATAGCTTATCAATCCCATTCAGCTAATTTTGGTAATATCAATCTATTATAATCCATTATCGATTGATCAATTAATTTCTTAGTTTATTAGCTTACTCTATCCAATTTTTTTTTTTTTTCACAGAAATCAAAAGAATGAATGATGGAAATGAAAAATAGCAGATGATTTTTTGTGCTCATTTAATTACAAATATAATCAAGGATTTGTTGTATAAATGATAATTTTTATCAAAAAATCGGATAGGAATATTTGTTGTGATTGATATTTTTGTAATAATATCAGTATTACATTACATTTAAATATCAATTTCATTTCATTCCTATTTTCCTACTATTTTTGATTTTCTTTTCCAATCATTACTTCAAATAAAATTCCAAAATTTAATCGAAATTTTAGAACAGAAAAAAAAGAAAAAAAAGGGTAAAATCCATTAATCAATTATTTGAAAATTCCTTCGAACCGAAACATACAATTTTAACAGCAATTTAGCTCATGTTTTCTCTTCCTAAATAAATTAATTAAATAAATAAATAAATTTAAATAAATAGATGAACGGGTAAATAAACCAATAAATAAATATAAATATATGAATAGGTAATTAAATAAATAAATAAATAAATAAACTAGAACAGAAAGAGGAGGAAAAGAAAAATGCGAAATATAGGATGAAAAATGAATGCAAAGTAACTGTGGGAAAGACAGGAGGGAAAAAACGAGAGAAAAGAAAAGAAAAAAAATGATTAAAAAATAAAAAAGTAAAAATGATGTAAGTTAACTTTTTTTTTCTTTTTTTTCTTTTTTGTTTTGTTCCATTTAATAGTGCAATGAATTTTGTTGTAAAAGAATGCCAATTTGAGGATATCATATTTCAGTCTTACATAACTCAAAGGATTTTAACTTAGTCTTTTTTTTTTTTCTATCTTTTTTATATTTTACATTTAACTGTTTGTTTCTTTATTTATTCATTCTTTTCTTCTTTCTAGTTTTTTTTTTTTTCTAAG